ACATCTTCATTTTATTCATTTTCATCAATGGGAACATCAAATCCACGGAAATTAATTCAAGGCAAATTTGTTACAACACATAAAGCATCTGATCTTGATGCTCTTTATCGAATGGCTTTACAAAATCAAACAGCTTATAAATCTGTCGAACAGAAACGTATTGCAGAACGTAAATTGCATGATAAAGAATTTGCTTCACAATATCGAGCTCTCAAGGGTAGCATGCGATCGGTTACTTTTACTAATAAAATTAATTAACTTAATTTTTCTTGTAGATAATTATGTTTTTCTTTTTTGTGATACAAACTATAGAAAAAATAAATAAAAATCTGCTTTTAATTAACTTCATAATAAAAGTAGCGAAAGTGAAATAAGTCTTAGAATTAATTATATTTTTTTTCCCTGAACGCTATTATTGGAATACAGTGGTCACAAGAAGTCCCACTATCGGGTAAAAAGTACATAAACTTCAAACCTTTTGTCTGATATTTTCATTATAAACAGAGCTCGGTAAACTCTGACTGCAAGCAGCAACTCGAGATCGATTCATTGGAGAAAATTTCAAAGCAAAATGATTAAAATTAGCCAGAGATATTGGTTACTTTTCGATGATTTTGATCAACTCTCATGTGGGGATTACTCAAAGAATACTTCATAAATAAGGCAAATTGCCATAGAATTTTTATTGGTGATAGAGGCAGCATTGAGCTATTGAATGAGGACTCTAACGTCATCAAATTTGTTTTTTATAGTGAGATATCCTTATCTGAAGATAAATTTGCGGTCAAACTATGAGATTAAAGTTTAGATACTTAGCACGACTTTTTTGAACTACTGTATTATTTAATTTTCATCACACTTCAAATTCAATCAACACCGACAGCTATTCATGATATTACATTAAACTTGTGTTAAAGAACGAGTACTCTATGTTATTAGGTTGACTAAAAAGTTCGCGGTCACTTGCAAAAAGGACCTAGTCGGATAGGATGATATATTCAGCATTGAGAAACCAAGTATACCATCTTTTAGAGAATTTCAAGGCGCATCGAATGGTATATAATAAGTCTATTTTCTAAAAAGTTTAGGAAGAGTTATGGTCAATTTACTGATGGAGGGATAGGGTCCAAAATGGTGATAAATAGCTAATTAGTATAGTCCCTGTGCGTTAGTCGAAGGATGTCATAAAAAATATTTCTTATATACAGTTGTGTAGAGTTTTTGACGAGCTACAAGCCCATATATTTAATATCTTTAACACAATTGTACATAAGAAATATTTTTTATGACATCCTTCGACTAACGTACAGGGACTATACTAATTAGCTATTTATCACCATTTTGGACCCTATCCCTCCATCAGTAAATTGACCATAACTCTTCCTAAACTTTTTAGAAAATAGACTTATTATATACCATTCGATGCGCCTTGAAATTCTCTAAAAGATGGTATACTTGGTTTCTCAATGCTGAATATATCATCCTATCCGACTAGGTCCTTTTTACAAGTGACCGCGAACTTTTTAGTCAACCTAATATATTGGAATACATGGAAAAATTTTTTAAACTAATTTTTGTGAACACAGACAAAATTATGCGTAAGCAAATGTGGAAAAAAAAAGTTGATCATCACCAGTAAAAACTAGCAGATCGAAAAATTTAATTAGATCAGATGATTCTGCTTTAGTTTTTTATATGACAGTTAAATAATCCTATAGTTGTTTCCTTTTTCGTAGAATAATTTTCTCATTAGCACAATTAGATTGAATCTATTAGATTCACCACAATTCTGACTTTTGGACTTGTAAACACTCAAATCGAGTGTAAATTCATACAATTTTACAATCTTTTTTTTAAAAGAAACTGCTGCTACTGTAATGTCATGGATAGTCAGCTTAATATTTAAATAAAAACAAATAAAACTTTATCATTGTATTACTGGAGATGAAAGAAAGTTCATGTAGAATCAAGTTTAATAAATGTTATTTTATTTTTTTGTCAATATGATAAACAAAGACTTAAATATAGAAGATATTGTATTGATAATAAAAATAAATCACGTATACCCTAACGGAAGGATATGCGCAGATGGGAAAAATTAATTCATAATTTAATGCCATACATACACTCACATATATTAAAGGAATGCAAAAACAAATGTCTATGCACCCACCCGCTCATATCCAACAATTGACAGAAACATCGGTTTATCTATCGATAGGA